TGAGGAAAGGGTTCTGAGAGCCTTGGAAGTGATATTCGTGATCACCGCGAAATTCTCTATCGAATGGTGTATGAAGTGTCGAAAAATAAATTTCACTGCAAGGCTGCCCTGGGTGCATCTTACAAGTTTCAGTTTTTTCAGCTAAAATAAGTGTGATCGAGGTATTTTGCCCTTTTCTGGAGAAAATTCTGATATCAGATGTGTCTTTAGCACAAAAAATGATTTATAGTTAAGTAAATATCAAGAGAAACTTGAAGTGACATCTGGAAAATTTTCTTCGTAAGGCAAAAATACATAGATGATTATTCATGGGAGTTTTTGAGATGCGACTCTGTTATTGAGAAAAACGTCGTACTTTGGATAACAATAAAGAAAAACCTAAAATTTTACTATTAATACTAGACTCACTTTGGGCTAATTGTTTTTCACTTAAGGGTTTTCCAATTCATCCGAGCGAAAATACGAAGTGCTCCATGGGCCTATCAAAAATCCGTTAGAAAATAAAAGTTTTGTATGAGGCAGGCAGTCCGTAAAGTAGCATTAATCATCCGTCCGAGACTAAGTCATTTCATAGTGTTACATACACATACACACATACGTCCATTTACAGAGTTTGATGAACTTTAGATTGTGGTTTAACATCCGTGAGAGATTTTCATTATCAAAATTTTGGTAGAATTATTGGCGGTAGACAAGCAGTTCCGCACAGTTTTCCATGGCAAGTTTTACTCAATGATAAAAATAAATTTTGTGGTGGTAAGAGAAGAAACAAATTCATAAACAAGAAAAGATGCTTTTTAACCCGAGAATATTTATTCACTGAGAAGAATTTTTATTATTTTTCTTCTCTTAGCCACAATAATAGATCGCGATTGGATTTTAACGGCTGCTCATTGTGTCAACGGGTAGGACGCTGATTTTGTGCGTATATTATTGTTAATAATCTAAATCAGATCTTATTTTAGAACAGATCTAGGTGATTTTGTGGCAGAATTCGGGATGCATGATCGATATATTAAAGAAGAATCAAAAGTCATTCGGTTTATCAAACAAGTTATTATTGTAAGATGTCATAAATATCCTTACTTTATTTTTATAGAACAAATGACTTTAAATATTTTTAGCATCCGTTTTACAGAGGAAGTAAGACAAGATGGGAACACGACATCGCTTTATTACAACTTTCAGAAAGTTTACAATTAAACTCTTTTATAAGAACTATTTGTTTACCAAATTATCAACAAGAATTAGTTCATGTGAATGAAGAAGTGATTATCACCGGATGGGGTGACACACGAGGTGGAACCAGCTATTTATACATATGCTCAATATACACATTTATCCTTTCTCTCCCTCAATATTTCAGGCACTGGTGATTTTCGCTATCTTCGTCAAGTATCAATTCCTATTCAATCAACTGATCAATGTGGTTTGAATTCAACATCTTCACATAATTCTGTTATTTGTGGAGGATTATGTAACTCAACTACATGTGATTCTTGTCAAGTATGACAATCCATATTTTTATACAAGACTACCATTAAACACTTTTATTTTTAGGGAGATTCTGGTGGACCAATGATAAAACAGTACAACAATCGCTGGTATTTGGCGGGATTAATCTCTTGGGGTTATAGTTGTGCAGGTCTGGGCATCTATACCAAAGTTTCTCAATATTCCCAATGGATTCAAGAACTAATTCGACGGGGTACAATAAAGTAAAATAAAATAAAATAAATTATCTTTAAAAATCCGGTATTTCATGTTCATATCATTGAAAATAAAAATGTTAAATAAACTCAGTTTCATTAATTCAGTTTCTATCCATACTAAAAATAAATTGTATGAAAAAATTGAAACAGATAGGAACAATAGTTTCAAGTTATAGCTTCCAATTTTAACTTGAATATCAATATTTTATTTCTTGTTCCGTATAAACATGAACAAATGTTGTAAGCTTCTTTCACAATCGTATTATTATCAGACTGAATACTTAGCCTGTTAGTCGTGCATTCAGTTTACGGCGAAATCAGTTAATATAATGCGCTCTCGTTTTTACAAGTTTTGTTTTTATTACCGTTTGATAGTTAGAATTGACAAATACTGTATTTTCTTGAGCACAATGATGAGTGAGTTCAAGTCTCGAACTAAAACATTTAAAAAGTTATTTTCAATATCCTTTCATTTCGTTTAATGCCATGTACTCGGATCATATCTGACTTGAAATCACCAAACTCCCCCATGTCTGTTGAGCACACTCTCATCTACAAAATAAGAAGCCTGCCGTGTTTTCATTGAACCTTCCAAACGTTGTAAGAAAAAGGAAATGGCAAAACGATACTACCATCACTCTTATTGAGCGAGAATGAGCCGATTTAGCGATTTAACTTGTAAATTAATGTTATCTTTGCCATGTTTCCCGAATTAACATAACGACGCTTACCACCATCGAAACAGTGAGTAGTAGAGATGTGCAACCCGACCCGTACTCGATCCGAAGGCTGGGTACGGGTACGAAGTTGTCGGGTACGGGTTCTATTTTTTTTTAATTTACCCGAAAACCGGAAGCTTCTAGTGGAAAACCCACAAAATTTTAGTGAAAAAATACAGGAATTTAGCTAATATACATGAAGGTTTAAAAAAAAATTACTTGAGAACGTAATGATAATTTGACATCTGCAGCCGAAAAACAAAAGTTTTTAGCTGGAAAACAAAAAGGAAAAAATTTTTAGGTATAAGTCGATTACGGGTCTGGTACGGGTCGGGCACAGGTACGAAAATGGTACCCGTGCACATCTCTAGTAAGTAGTATTTTCTTCGAGTTCTTCACAGCTATATCTATCTTGAACTCCAACACAACAACTGCTATAAATAGCAGAAAATAACTCTTCCAGATTTGTTTCGCTAGCATTTGGAATGACATAAACAACAATTCACACCATGATATCATCGCTTTACAGAAAAACAGCTAGGAAAATACTCTCACTTTCAACAGAACTAAATTGATATTGAGATATTTGTATAAACTGCTCACTACTTACGTCGTGTTTATCGAAGAATCAATCATCTAATTTTTTTGATATTGAGAGTTGTACAGAAAGAATAAATAAATAGCGTTAGGTTGAGAGTAAGAGGAGGGTTCTTAGAAGACCAGTGGAATTTGAATAGAACCCGCAAGAGATATTAGTTTAGTTGATAAAATAAGTAGAAGGTATACGTATTGTTTATAAATAATAAGCTGATAAGTGACAACTTCTTTCAGTATTAAGCTTTATGAGTTGTTGCGTATTTAGTCATAACATTAAAATACCAATGATTGAACTAATTAGCCGATCAGCTACAGTTGTTCTAATATCTCGCAAGAGAAGATAGAATCTCAATACTGTATTTAGTTGCGACCCACCAGGAATATTAAGACTAGGGATATCATAAGCCTTGAGACGTTGCATCAAAGGTCACATGGCTTTATTAGTCAAAAAAATCCCAAGCTCTACGGAGCTTTTGTGTAACCAGTTTTCTCTGCCGCATCCGAAACTAGCGCTAGGACTGGTCAAAATAAAAAAAAGTACCGGGCTTGGTAAAGCTTAATGAAAATTGACATTTATTTGTATTTTTTAAATCTACATTTCAAGTTGTCAAGAACATAAATGATGTAGAAGTTCGCGTGAGAGAGTACATAATATTCGTGTATATGTTCCATAATAAAGCTCCATACCAACGAAGGATCTTGAACGTTCAATGAATGTTTATGCATCTTTCACATAAGAGAGATGACATTATAGATGAAGGAAAAAAGAGAAAATTAAAAGATCATCTGCGACATTATCTTTACTACATTGATTTCATTTTTCCATAAACGCATACATCCTGTTGTTTAGTCGACCTAGTTATATTTTTTATACTACTTCGCTACGGTTATTTTTGAAATTCTAACCGGTGATTACAATTATAAGCAGTTAATGATATGCACGGCAAATCAGAAACGTAGCAGCAATGTCTACTATTTACTAAATTGAGTAAACCACATAAACAATTTTCATATTTGGTATTAGTTTAAAAACATTAATTATAAATCAATGTACACGAAAAGTCGTTTTTGACCATATTTTCTATCAGAATGATTTATTCGAGTTAATGCGACGTTGGCAGTCTATTTGTGGTGTTAATTAGGGATCTTACAAGCCTTGAGACCTTGCATCAAAGGTCACATGTTTCATTACTCAAAAGCCCCAAGCTCTACCGAACTTTTGTGTTAGATGTAACCAGTTTTCTCTGCCGTATCCAAAACTAGTGCTAGGACTGGTTAAAATAAAAAAAGTACCGGAGTTGGTGAAAATTGATCTTTATCTGTATTTTTTAACAGGCTTTACTGAGCCCAATACGTTTTTTTTTATTTTGACCAATCCTAGCACTAGTTTTTGATACAGCAGAGAAAATTGGTTACATCTGACACAAAAGCTCGGTAGAGCTTGGGAGTTAGTAACGATAATCACTTGTTAGTAAATGTATGCAAATCAAATAGTAATGCTTTAAGTAACACAAAGAGCAAACTTACAAAACATATATCCTTTTTCAGAAAATTTCAAAATAAGTAACAAAACTAATCTAAGTATATTAAAAGAAATACCCATTTTCGTACCATCTACTACTACTATCGGAGCCAAAATATAAGAGCAGTGGTTATTTTTTAAATAACTCAGCACCAAATAAAGAATGAGATTTGCGATTTTCACCATCCGATAGCCAAGACTTGAGGCGATCTTTCTACAAACAAAATCGATTTTTGGAAAATTTTTCGAAGCCGGATTTCGACAGGGACATTGGAAAACCAACTCGGATTTTCTGAAATTCAAATAGGAATCTAATGATTTTTTGGAGGGCATATATAGTTCGAAGTGTCTACAAAATCGGGACTATCAAAAATGAATGAAAACATAGATTATCGACTATGCTGAATGTTAATTTTCAGAACAAAATGCAAGAACCGAGTGAAAACCTATACAAGGTGAAATAACCCATTTTTGATTATTTCCATCAAAAACTAAATAATTCATAATTCAGTCAAAATCCATTCAACCTATTTCAGAATGTCAGCAAATACTCTATTTTAGCTGCTCATTCTGATTCTGTATGTAAAATCAATAAAAATGTGTTCCGAAGATTTCCAGGAAACCTTTCTAGAAAACAAAGTATTGTCTATTGATTTTTCAAGATTTATTGAGCTTTACGGTATGCTGCAGATAAAATGGAGTATTTGCTGACATTCTGAAATAGGTTGGATGGATTTTGACTGAATTATGAATTATTTAGTTTTTGATGGAAATAATCAAAAATGG